TAACCGTCAACATTAAGTTAATTTTGAAAATGTCTCAATTATTCGCAAGTGTTTTCCCATTTCATATGTAAGCAACGGTAAATTAGAAAAAAAAAATGTCTACGGGATCGTCTATTTTCCAAAAAGGAAAAAATAGCAGCTGATAAAACGAATTGAAACCCCTTATACCACAGTTAATTTTAATACTTCCATATTAGTTTTAATTAAACAATAAATAAAATAAGAAACAAAATCTCTCGACACGGATTTAACTCCACGTGTTTTTTTTACTTTTAATTTGGCGATTTGGAGCAAGAAAGATTCTACCAAATGTCCTTCCAAAGTAGTTTCTGGACAGACACTTTTCCATTACGCTTTATATGCACGTTCGATTTTTGCGAACTCAATAACAGCTTTTAATCTTCCGCATATTCTTCTGCAGGCTTTTATTTAAAAACTCCATTACTTGAGCAAACTAATAGCAAAACCGTTTACGTGCCTATCTTCCTTTGGCTGTCGCCGAAATTGTGATTAGATGCATTTATTTATGTTTACGACCGTCTTTTTTTTCTTCTGGCGCCCGCGACAGACTATGCATAATATCAATTCTTCCCTATGTATATGGCATTCATATCATCGGACCTATACGGGGTGTTTCTTAAGTACGTACGAACGTCGTGAAGTGGTCCTCTGAGAATTTTTAAGACAAATTATTTATTTGTATATATAAAATAACAAAAAACATTTAGCAAGTTTGAGGCTATACAATATAGTTGCTCATAATCGAAACAACAACAAAAATAACAACAACACAAAAAAATAATAATTCTGGCAAATAGTTTAGAAAAAAATGTAAATAGAATTATTAACCAAATATCATCACGGAAAGCTATAAGAGAAGCCGGGTAATTAGAACTGAAACTATGAAATTTAGTAATAATAATAATTATAGTGTAATAAAATAATAATAATATAAGTGGATATAGAAATGATTTGTGTAGGTACAGACTGTTAAACATAAAAACCACTCTTTTCTTTAAGAGGTGTGTTTTATGAATTGCACACGAGAGAAAAAGAAAAAATTTCTTCCTTAATTCAAAAAAAGATCCAAAAATGAAAAGTCATTCTTCGGGGACGCCACTGGAATTAATCTTATTTATCATTAATTAATTAATCTAAAATACACCTAAGCATTTCTGGGCGTATGTTGATGTGAACATTTGTTCTTGAAATCACAAGTATGGCAGCGAGCTTTTTTAACACCCTGTATACTCGGAAGCGCGCACTAAGTGCCGCGAAATAAAGAAACTTCAAAGTTCTTCTATCAACTATGCGATAAAAGCATCATTTTAATTTAAAAGTTATAGCGTTCACTTAGCGTTGTCGGACTGCTTTGCGAATGATGAATTTAACGAACGGTCAGGCGGGCAACCCCCTAGAGAAACCTAATAAAAAAGATAATTTTATATTCCGTATTAAACAGCTACGAAACCAAATAATTTTTTTTGAATGAGGATTGCTATTTTAAAATTATAGGAAGAACTAATAAAAATGCTTAAAAATGTTAAAAAAAATAAATTAATCACGCTTTATTTCGAAAATAAAAAATGAGGAGAGAAATAAAAATGGGAAAAAATGATAATATCATAAATAGGTACCTTCACAATATATTACGATGTTCATGTTTTATCACCAAACAGGGAAACTTCTAGTAGTAGTTAATGGTCATTTTTAAGTAGTTAATGAAAACAAATAAAAAAATTTAGTTTTCTTTTCTCCCACATTCAGTTCGTTTTAAGCCAATTCTCGTATCCGTCTGATATTGCGAATTTAAATTCGCGCCCCACTGTCAGACACCACTAGTAGAACAAAAACATTACCAACTTACAAATCGAAACATAATTTAACGTAACTAATTAATACCGTTCTTATGCAGTTGCTTTTAAATCTTGACCCTAATCGATTACCTACTATTACCGAGTAGTATTTCAGAAAATGCTTTTTAGAAATAATTTAGAATACAAAACTCGTCTTCGTAATGAAAGCCACGTTTTTAAACTAACCGCCTTTTATTTACGAAGCTCTTGAGATCTGGTCTCGGGCGTTATTAATTTGTATCGTCTTTTTAGGATCTCCAAACAATCCGGACCTCAAGGTATCGTGGTGACTTTAACGTTCAGACATGCATCTTGTGCTAACTACACAATAAGGGTACCTGCAATTGTCTGCATATGTCACCTGAGAAAATCCTTGACATGGTGTGCCAAGATAAGATACTTTATTCTGTTGGCTTCTATATTCTTGCACACCAGAGACAAATAAAAATCGGAAGTATGACAAGCAAATGTTGTTTTTTCTTTCTTTTTAATATGTGTTATTCAAAAAGGCGCTTTTTGGTGCTTTCATAAGTACGCTATATGTAGCCAACCAATAAAATTCATTTGTAAATATTGCTATATCAAAGAAAGAGTAGAAAGAACATGAAATATGTGAAACATACACATAATGCGTATAAACCAGTACAATATCAGAAGCAAGCGCATGATTTCTCATTTATTTAATTGTAAAAATTTCTTGCCAGGCACCATTCAAACTTAAATTAGGTACACCTAGACTGTTTTTGCTCTTGCTCTCTTTGCGTTCGCTTTTTTAAACAAATTCTTTCAAATTTTATTTACTATTAATTTTACAATTTAAATAGAACACACTGTGTAGAATTGTTGTAGAAATGTTGTTACACAAAACGATTAAACAATAGATTTTTTTATTACCAGGAACGCCCGCCTGCAAAAAGAATTCCCAACAGTTTTGTTATTTTGTATTACATTTTGGTATGATAAATTTAGATCTAGAATCGAAATATATGTTGTGTTCCTATCTATTTTCAAATTAAATTTGGAAGAGGAAAGGAGAAAATTTTTGTTTACGCTAATTCAAGTAGAATTTTAGGTCCGCGACGGCAAACGCTTTCCATAACCTTTTCGTACACATCAAAAGTGTCCTAAAGTCGCACCGGCTCAGGTTAAAAGGAGAGTGTTGTTAAAAATAGTGTTTAAATGTTTTAAATGTTTAAAAGTTTAGTCGGATGTTTTTATTAGGCGTTCAATGGTCCAGTTGGATCATTTCCATTTCGTATATTAAACCTAAAATGAAATTGGACTTTAAATGGGTAAATTCTTACATTGCACTTTAATATAAATAAGCTTACATTACAGCGTTAGCAGGCATTGTATTAAGACAATAATTTATTAGGTTTATTTCTAAAAATTTCTAAAATTTTGTCCTTTTTCGTAAAATGTCCGAATTTGGCCCAGTTGATACAAATCATATTAAAATACTACAATAATATCTCAAAGAATCTCAAAAAACTAGGAGATATATAACTTAAATTAATAACTAATAATTAACTAAAGTAATAACCTATTCATTTCTAAGGAACTCTAGTATATTGATTGATTGTAGTATTTACTATGATTTTCATTTGTTGTGTATTAAGATTACCTATGGAGTGAAGACTGAGATCTGCGTTTGAAAATAGGTGATTCTTGCTTATGTTACTACACTACATATACTACAATATACTACAATATACTACAATATACAAGGGTCATTTCAATATAATGTAGTGTAAAAAATATGGCTCATCTTAGCTGAGTCATTATCCTGATTTTTGAGTAAACAAATTGAGGCCGACTACGACTAAGTAAGTGTTGAGTAGAAAATGGCATATTTAGACCACCTAGCTATTGCGCTATATGCTGTATGCTCCAAGTTGAATTTTGTACCAACATTATCGGCATTACTTACCACAAAGTAGCGACAATTAAAACAAAATTTGGGTAAACGACTGTTATGCATGCCAAGTAGTTTGAATTAAAGACATTTAAGATAACTTCATGTAATATATGATAGATTCCGTTTCCTTAACTGTGCAAAGTTTGTAGTTTGCGACCCTTTTGTAAAAGGAAATTTCAACTCTATCAAGTATATACAAAATACTATTGAGAACAAACGAGTCAAATAGTTTTGCAATAGTCAGCTTAGCTTTGTTTTTCTTTGAATACCGGAGATTCAACATATTCCTGAACAGTGAAGGCTGCCAAAGGCAACTTCCAAATATATTTGTTCGAACGAAATATTTACAACAACAAAATTAGGTTTGACGTTTGACAGCTCATTTGATTAGCGATTTACATAAGTCTTAAAAGTAACTACAAAATAAAGCATTTTTTATATCCTCTGAAATGCCATATATCTCCATTTGTAAATAGTATAAATATTTTAAATATAAGCAAGGATAAAATTATAAATTCAGGTAAACCGACTTATCTAAGAGTTCCAACTTCATCCACATTTTTAAAAAACAAAGAATAACTCAACTTAAATTTTAATAGCAATGTCTACTTTTTGGTAATATATCCAGCTACTTCACCGTCGATTGAGATTTCAGTCGTTTTTTTGTTTTTTTCTTGAATTATTCCACTTGGGGCAAGCTCCCAATCATTTTGTTTTCTTCAAAAACTACTCAAAATTTCTACAAGTCAACAAATAGAAGGGGCATCCAATTTTGAGCAGTTTGTGATGAAAGCGGTTATTTGAATCGGATGTGGTATAATTCATGAAATCATATTTGTTTTTTGCAAATAAAGGGTATTATTATTATTATTGTTTGTTTTGTATTTGAACGAAAGTAGATGGGGCTATTCCAACTCGAACAGTTTTAGTTACTAACAACAGATAAGTAAACAATTGACATTTCGCCCCTCTACCCGGAAACATCCCCGCGCGGGGCGGCCGGAATCCGCAGATCGACTGCGCGCGGCGTCCTCGGCCGTAGAAAAAATCACGCGAAACCCCTCCCTCGTCCGTGCGCTCCCCTCGCCTAAACACCAATGACTTTCCTTCTAAGCGTAAAAAGAAGCGAGATTAATTCAAACATCTATAAGTCACCCCTCCTCTCGCATCCCTACCATTCCGTCGTCCACCTGTATCGCTCTTCTTCGGGTGTCCCATTCCATCGCCGATCGCCGATCAGAGCTGTGTGGTCCGGTCGAATCGACGATCATAATCGACGATTTTTTTTTGGAACGCGCGCCAAGAGTCCCAGTAATATTGGTACAGTAGTGTTTGTGCGCGGTGACGTTGGTGACTGTGATACGCGGGGGGTTGTTGTTTGACGGATTATGACGGTGAGGACTAAGTGAATATTCGTACAGAGGAAGAAAACGCTAACGAGGTGAGTCTGTTCGCTGTTCGGGTGCTTTTCCCGATGGAGACCGCGACGTCAGGTGAGGCGACGAACCCGTCGCACTTCGGCCGATCGGGCAATAGAATAGGGGATGAAAAAGCTTTAACTTAATAAGAAATACTTACTAATCATACACTCGAAACGGATAAATCAAAAAGGTGAATCGTTTTTTCTAAAGTTTACACTGTTTACTTTTTCTTGAAAATTTCTTTTTATTTTTCTTTGTAATTTACCTGCGGAAGTGTGTTACTGCTAAGGAGTCTAAGGCAAAAGCTATGTTATGGAATCAGTAATTTATTGATTGCTCTTTACAAAACCCCCAACTACGTGTGTTAAATTCTATCAATTCTTATTGAATGTATCACAAATTGATTGATTTCGTAGCAAAGTAACATTGTCGCTGGGTTAAACTATCTAAAAAATTCTTTTTACGTTATTTTATTATTAAAAATCGGTCCAAGTAAAAACTCTGCCATAGGTGTATATTATGCTACAGTTAATTTAGCTACAACATGTTGGCATTGGTCAATGAAGTCGCGTAAACAAACAAGAATCGAACCTTTATTTTCAAGAGTTCTGATGTGTGGTAAAAAATTGCAACGATATGCAACAAGGAAAATTATTTAAAAAGGGATACTCACTTTTATCCACCAACCAACCAAAATTATCCTCTTCGTATAGTCACCCTTATATTGCAAGGAAGCTTCAAAAATTTATATTCGAGAAGACATTCCTAAGTTAAAGAATGTTTCTCTAGTTTGAAAGAATTCTAAACGTTTTCCATGACCTTAAAAATTAAAATGATTTACTTGGTCAAACAAAGTATTTGCTTAGTATGTCTTTTTTTTATTTCTTCTTACTTATTGTAGATATTTTCCTATAGTATTTATTTAATCATGTTTTTAGACGAATGTAAAAGTTAACAGAACTAGAGGTAATAAAAATACAGTATTGTATCAATATCAAAACGCAAACTGGATCACCAGTGATGCTAACCTTCTTTTAACTACATCGTGCCTTCAAAAATTAGCTGCAATTTGTGCGAAGCGGGTTTCAATCTGGATTTACTAAGTCAAAATGAAGAACACGTATCGTTAAAAATCATATCAAAATGTTAACATTCTTATCATTATTTCTTGTCTCATTTCAATTGAAAAGAAAAAACGAATTTGTTTAAATAAATAAAGATAATACGTCTCGAAGTTTAACCATAAAACAGTCGCAATTCGTTTTTAGTTACCAATAGGGCCATGCTGAATTCCGGCTTCAATGTTATTCAATAACTAACCAGTGACGTGTCTAGAAAACTACTTGTACATTTGTGTAGGTTTGTAATCCCCATAAAATTTCGAAAACCGCAATTTCTCAATACTTGGTACTACTCAAACCGCTGGACCATCAATCGTCCCTCCAATAAACGCCGTCGTTTACAGGTGACCGTCAGACGGTCGAGCCTTTATTCTCAACTAACTTCTTAATTGCGAAAGTGCCCAAATTCCTAATCCTTTCTTTTATCCTTCTAAAAGAGGTATTAACGGCTCCGGAAATTTATGAACCTCCCGCTAAGCTCCTCCTCCGCCTCCCGCATACTACTGGGAAACAAAATAACGGTTTTAAAGTGAAATTATTTTAGATTAGAATTAGCATATACCGTCTTTCTAAAGAGCATGGCGACGGAAAGCAAACTAAGAAACATACCAAAATATGGGTAAAAAGTAGTAAACCGTTGTGTTGCGTGTCAAAGATTTGTTTGTCATGACTTTAAACGCGTACAAATGATTTGCAATCTGGTGGAAGGGGAAGTGAGACTAGTTAGTATCTAGTAACCCATGGATTTATTAGGAAAATTAAGTGAATCCTTTCGATTTGCCGTGCCCATAGAGGTTTCTTGAAAATTTAAAAAAACTTTCAAAATTTAAGCATGTTATTTTTATATTAGTATTAATATTATATTATTATTATTATTACTATTTATTAAACTTTTCAACTAAAAATACTCCAAAACGACCTCTAAAACATAAAATTTAAACAAAATATAAAAAAACATTACATTGTAATAAACATATCTGATTAACAAAAAGAGAAAGAAAAAAACATATATTAGGAATGATATATTTAATTACAATTAATTACAATTTAATTTAATTCTTCAGTTTGATTTGGGTATTTGTGAATTGGGTGCATCACGACAGAGCTTTTTAAAAACATCAATCGGTATGGTTTTTGCTTTTTTTCATTTTTAATGCGATTATTTATGCCTGCTATAGTAAGCAGTGAGACCCTTGCGAAACTCCATGTATTATTATTTTTCTGCTGTTTACTAGAAAAAAATATTTGCAAGATTATAATAACATTCTCTAAGTGTTTTCGAATTAAAAGGACGAATTTAATAGTCATTTTCTAGAACAGATAGAGTGATAAAAGTTTTAAGGATAAGTTACTTTTTTATCTGAAATGCAACATTAGGTGTTTAAAAAATGAGAATCCCGATTTATTTAGCGTTTTTCTTATTTCATTTGCGTTTTTAATTCCTTAATACGGCATATTGTGATGTGATAACCAAAATCGGCCCATCTATAATCAGTAAAACTCATACTCATAGATATAGATCGCGATACGCCAGTTATCGGTCGCCGATAACCTGCAGATTAGCGAAATGCAAATGTAGCTCTCGAACCGCACGGCATACCACCATACCGTCGGTAATAAAAACGCTTCTCATATTTCGCGGGATTCTTTTCACAATTAAATTTGATACCCCGATATAATCGTTTAAAATAATTGGTGGATCGGTCCACCGGCGCGCAGCATCCTCTCGCATGTTTCGAATTCTTCGCGGGGTTCCGTTTTGTTGGGATATTTAGTGGTTTCGCGCGGAGCAAGGGCGTTCGTGCGTTGCACCGCTAACATGAAACTGTAAAAAAAATTAATATATTCGTGTTTGCCACCGTATTTTATTATTTTAATGTTCTTTAACCCACCAAATATCAGATGGAACCCTAACTTGCTCAATATCAAGTACCTTTTACAAATTTTCTATAATAACGATAAATTAGGAAGGAAGGAAGTGAAATGGAAAATGTTACGAAGCATTCTATTAGTACATGGCAACACGAAAATCTTTGACAAATATGACAGCGTATCATTTTTCGCGCCTTAGTCTGATTCCAATAATGTGCGCATAACTTTGGTACCCGGGAGACTAAGCCTAGAGCAGAAGCTTCTCTAATGTAAAAACTTAAAATAGTCATGTGCTTACTCAAACCAACATTAATATACGGCTCTGTTTGCAATAATAAATATGTCATATTTATTTTGTACAGAGCATTGCTATTTACTCATTATATTTAATGTCTGACCTTTTATTTAGTGTCAACTTGCATAAATAGCAAAAACAGCAAATCGCTTTTTCATTGACTAGATCAAATAGACCAGATTTTGATTATAAAAAAATTTACAGGATTATTCGAAGTGTATTGAAGTTTTGATATACACCGTAGGTAAGACAATCATCATTCTCTAAGGAGATAAGAAAATAAGATGCCAAAGTCTTGCTACTCTTAATGTCACTTAGATCACTTGTGGAGTTATACGCTACGGAGTATTAGTGTAGTATGGACTGGATATTAATTAATTCCTTACGTTATGAATATTTGTACTTTTGGCAAGGATTTCATCCGTGCCAATCCACTAATTAATTTAATTGTTTCAATTTTATGTGGATCAATTAAATGCAAGAGCAAATATAGGTTGTGTCATCAATTCTTCTAAAATATTCAATCAATTACCTAAAAATATAGGGAGTATAAAAAATTATAATTTAGCACTGTTTGGTCATCACTTTTAGATTTCTCGAGTTTCAAGTACTGATTAGAGAAATTCCGTCACTATTATGTAACTTTTCTTTACTTTTATTAAATATTTACTTAAAAAATATATTTTATCAATTAAAAATTAATTAATGATTGAGTGGAGTTAATAATAATAATAAGTTTTTACAAGTATTACAATTTAGTTTCTGTCATTTTGAGTCAATTTAATAATGGAAATGAAGACATTATTTTCAATTTTTCAAGTTCTCATTCTATGTTAATTGTACTTCAAGTTGAAATGCCACAAAAATGTAAATTTACTACTTTTCCATTTTTATCATAGCCTTAATTAACTGATTAAATTTAACCTTTTATTCACAATTTTTATCTGAATTATTGTTAATCGTAACATAAACGATACTCTATTTAGTTTAGAAAAATACTTCCAATTTTATTCTGGGCGCATAGTAAATGCATATACGAAGCCTTTCCCTTAGTCGCGAGTGACCAAACTTAGTAATAATTATTATTGAAATCCCGTCAAAGTAAAAGCTTGCGCGTAAAACGCCAAAGTCAATAAACCTGTTCGCTTTTCGCAGATTTAACCGCGAAACGGCTTTTCTATTATTTCGCAATGATTCTATAGGTCGTCTTCGCCGTTATTTATTTTTTTTTGCGATTTTGACACGACTTTCTTCTCGCATCGACTGCGGGGCAATTAGCCGCGATTACTAGCACAAGTAAACAAAAGGACCCGGTAACCCGAGGGCTTCCTTAATTAAGTTATTTAATTACTACGTGTTATGAGTTCTCGAACGCCTCCTCCTGGTGCGGTGGGATTTTTTCCCAATTATGGTAACGCGGCAGCTTTTTTAGCAGCTAACCGAGGATTTTTAAAATTAATACGGTTTGAATTTCCTGTTTTAATAATCACATTGCTATCGCTATGCTTCGTAATTTTATTTCGTCATCAAATCACGACCTTTCATAAAATTTTCGGACCGTTCCTGTGCACAAGTTTAAGACAAATCTGAAACTTGTGTCTGATTGGCGTAAAAACATGTATAGATATAGATATTTCATAGACTAATCTTGATATGCGACTAATTTAATAACTAAATAATAGAGGAACAAAAAAAGGCGACCAACTCATTTTAGGTTACCTGTGCTGACTCT